TCGTGAACTCTGGAAGGCCTGGCAGCATTGAACATTTCCGCTTCTCCTAATAGGGAATTCCACGAAAAGATTGCCTGTGCCATAATGAGTGAGGTGAAGATGGAAGACCTTATGAGAATAGTTGCTACAAGCCATGGTGAACCAGACACCATAAATCTCAGTCGATCAAATACTTCAATTGAAGATGGGAAAATTCATTTGACGTTTCAGATTGATGCCCAATGATGCCTGACCTGAGTTATTCCAGCAGTTTTTGTGCTTATTTCAAATTTGTAGCATTTGCAGTATTTTGATTTTGTACACGAGTAGAGGTAGTAAATGTTTACCATGTTTGGCATTAAAAAGACAATTTCCAACAGTTAGGAAAAGATAAAATCCTCAGAATTCAACCGTTTAGTTGAGTTGGAATAAATAGCAAGCAGAAACTTGACATTTATCTGAAAAGGCATTTAAGAATAATCAAGGCATAAATTTGAAAAATAATGTTGAATAAACAGTAAACCTCAAGTAGCTGTTGCAGTCCTCCATGCATGGGGTGGCAGTATTGCATTTCTGTCATATGCCCCCTACTCTAGGGTTTATCTTCATTGTCATCTTTTGTCTTCCTGTTGGGTTATCATTTGATTCTGTTTTCTCCTGGTTGAGGTTTTCAATAACATGGATGACACACCAGGTTATTGGGTTATATTTGTACAACAGCCAACCAGTAGCTAAAATGCCACGTTTTGAAGTATAGATACTCGCATTGAATTTCAAATCCCTTTTGATTGTAGGAACGTTGGGTAAGCATATGATACCTTACAGCAGTTATATTTTCTCGTGATGCTACAGAGGTGGAGGTAGTGGTAACCCATTTAGGATGCTGCTGCCGTTACTGCATATTTCTGGTAACAGCTCAATCATTAGCTTCCCACTGTGGAAATTTGTGAAGACCCACCGAGTGTATGGCCTTCAACAGGTGTGAAGTCAAAGCTGTGAGATCAGTTAATTCACCACAGAGCAGGAATTAAACATCGGCTGGTGTGATCTGTGTTGTAACAGGCAATGTGGTGCGCACACCCAGCAATATATACTGCATTTACATAGCAGAATGTCTGAGAATGCTTCATACAAGATAAGATATGAATGGTGTGGAGAGAGAAGAGCTAAATAGTGGTTCAAAGAGAGTAATATTTTTGGAGGCCTTTGCAGGAAGAAGGAGATACTGAAGCAAAGTGATTATGGGAGAGTTTCAAAGACCAAGTATAGCGTTTGTGAGATTATTGCTAAAGAGGATTAAACTCAACCTGAAGGCAGTGGGTTGGGGCAAGATGGAGAGATTTGAGAACAAATAGTAGAAGTGGGAGCCAGTGGAGCTTGCCAAGGATAATGAGTATGGGCAATTTTTTTAAAATGACAGCAGCAGCTATGATATACAGTTGTGTCTTAGACCATATCCTTGCACGCTGTACTAGTTGAGCCTTACTGGCAGCGGGTCTATGAAGCACCATTTCTGTGGATTGAATTGTAATGGTAATTCTTGAGTGAATGCTGATCTTACTCAACCACAAATAGGTGATCGTTAACAGGATGCCATTCGAATGGCAATCGCTAACCAAAAGAGGGAAATGTGCATCGTATTGTTTTACAAAAAAAACCGTATTGCTGTTTGTGAAGGGCACAGTGTGAGTCATGTTGTCAGAGTTGTTATCTACTCCTAAATATTGATTGTGAGGTTAGACTGTTTGTTCTGTTTCACAGTTGACCACAGGAATGTGGCTGAATAAGGCTTTCAAACATTGAGGATTAAAATGTGGGAGGTAGTGGTAGTGATTTAAGATTCATGTGATTTTGTGTAAAGCTGAATACGGTTAGAACTTTTTAAAAACTAGTTAATACTCTTTTAAACTTTATTTGTAAAGGTGAGAAATTTCAAACTGTTTCAAAATCATTGCTATGTTCTTTTTAACTGTTGGGCCTAGCTGGTATATAGGCCACAAAAGCCTGGTTTTCAGCAATATATTGTGAAGTTAGCCATCGCTAGGACACAATTCAAGAAGGTGGTTTTGCCAGTTTCTCTGTGGATGAGAGGAACTCTGCAGCAAGTATAGGTGCTATCGCTGGAGGGAGAGGATGCCACCATTTCTGGCTGGGACTGGATGCTATCCTGCCTGTACAAGCCCAAGGCAACAGTGCATTCTCTATTCCTTCCTCCCACCTACCCTATTCCTGAGTGTGTAAAATCTAATTCCCAGACTACTAAACTGCAAAATGTGACTTTTAAAAAAGCTGTGAGCTGTTTTGCTTTGGTGGTATGGAGTTTACCACTCAACGTGCAGTAGTTTCATAGGCACGGCACTGGCAGTCTTGGATGATATTGCAAAATCTGTTCTTAAAGGGGTGTGTATCATGCAGAAGGTGTTATCTAATTCTATGCAATGATAATTTGGCACTTGATTTGCATTGGGAGCCGCCTTTTATGCTCCTTGGCTGATTTGCTACAGCAATCAGTTCACGCCATTCAACCAGAACAACTTTAAACCTCTGCGCATATAATCTCTTGACATACACTGAAGTTTTAAAGTCCGAAATAGTTATTTCTCCAAGCTTGGTAGCTTGCCAAAATTTGGTGAAGGTCTGTACTTAGCATTGATGTACCCTAGCAAAAGCAAGCAAATATAATCGGCTTTCCAGCAGTCCTTTTGAAGACTGAATGTCCCTTCCAGCGTCTGATATGTCCTCTGGGTCACAGTCCTGCAACATCTGATGTTCTGTAAATGTATAATCTTCCATGTTGATAATTAGAACTGGAGAGAAATACTTTCTAGTTGGTGCAGTTCTGCTGGATTCTAACTTGGTAAAGTAATGATAATTCCTGTGGCATTTTAATCACACTTTTAACCTGTTAAGAGCATGCACAGGAATGTTACACAAATTAACACGAACATCATGAACTCAGTGGGGTTTCAGTTCCTATAGATTTTTTAAAACGTCTCTTACTGTTTTAGACATTATTATGTGCCACTAGCTGAGAGAGTTTGGATAACTACCTTGCCTCTGTCAATGTCACAATTAAAGTGCCTTGTAGAACGTGTATCAGTTGCCTGAGTGCAGTCCATAATGATATTCCCTCTTTTCAGATAAATTGTTTTCTACTCAGCCCCTCAATCTCATTAGGCTAAAAACAAATATATATTCATGATTCTCTCTTGGGTTCCAGCCAGAAAGGGAATTGTGGATGTATCCTTTCTTGCTTTGTATTATTCCGTGCAGCAGCGCTTTGGAACATGAGCGCAGTTCTGTTAGGGTTAAAGTGTTTGCGTTGACCTGAGGTCATTGATTTGTTCCGCTGGTGAAGACTGGAGACAAGAACAGGATTTGACCCCTTGTAATTCCCAGTGCATAAACCCCAACATCAGTTAAAGAACCGAATTTTGATGAATTGCAGTAATTCATTTATTCTTTGTTTTCGATCAGTATCTTGCAAAGTAGAGAAATCAAGGCAAAGAGCAATAAGAGCGGCAGGCGTGAATGATTTTTTTTCTTCCCTGAAGCCCACAAACCGAAATCTTTGCACGAGCTCTAAATGAGATTGGTTAATTTAGCAAAGGCTGGAGATTGAATCTTAGGCTCCTGGTTCAATGGTTCAGTGCCACTCCAGATAGTAGCTTTACAAAGGCATCAGGAGAGCTCAAGGACTGTTAAACTAGAACAAATGTTACTGGCATTTATTCTTTGCCATGTTCAGTTACAAATGAGTGGTGACCCACATTCCATGACATTACAACTGTTCAGAAACTGGTATGTAGATGTTTGGAAGACATGTTCACTAAGAATTTACATAATTGTTTGTGAGACAACATGCATTAAATGTGAGAGTTTTAAGTACTATGTATTAATTTAAAAAAAAATCAATGTCAAATAAGTTTGCTGTCAGGGTAAAAGATTGGTATTATCCCAGAGAAGGTGGGGGGGAAGCAGTTTGTTGTAGAGAGAAATGAGTGGTGACTAAAGAAGTTGCAAAGCTCGTTTCACCACTCTGCTAACTTCAGGCATATGTGTCGAAGTGATCACAAGGAGGAAGTGCGGCGGGTGGGGGGGCGGGGAGGGTTTGGAGGTGGAGTTGGGGGGAAAAGGAAAAAACAACAGAGACTGAAGCTAAGACAGGAAAGCTGCCAAATTCAGAAGATGTGGGCGGTCTGATCTGGGTTTGATGTTTGTGATGCTGTCATTTCAAAAATATTCAGCCTTTCACAACAAGGTGTTATCATCTCATTTGAATGGTAGGGCAGTCTTAGAATGACTGCAAATATTTAATACGTACTTTATGTAGAGGCTGCATCACAGATGCAGAAGTAGCTTTCCGGCCAAAGGTTATGGTGCAGTTTTTTGATTGTGAAGTATACCTGATTAACTATTTCTTCCTCCTTATTCCCCCTATGCACCTTTTAGAATGGACTAATCCAGGCTACCTTACTCCTATGATAATGAGCTCAGTGATGTAATAACTGAGTACGTCAGGCTGCTGGTCAGAGGGAGCAGTCCTTTGCATATTCAACAAAGGTGTGCGCTTGGAGCACAAAAGTTCTCTGGGGTACTGGTGGCAGAGGATTCTAGATTTCTTTTTACTCCGGGAGTTTGGGAATGTTCACTTCGGTTGGAGCCTGAAGGAAAACAACAACAAAAAAAGAAGCGGCAACTACTGGATAAGATTGGGCGCGCTTTTGGTAGCATTTGTGGCTGAGAAAGCTTTTCGAAGTCAGGACACAAATAAAGGGGGAGAAATGCCAGAGGGAATCCTCCTTTCACAGACACAGTTGTAGCTGAAGTTCCCATCGTGTTGCTTTCAAACCAGAGAGCTGCTGATGTTGATCGTATGAAAGATCCAGTGGCCAGATTGAAGGATCCTAGTTTTCAGACTCAGGGGGATTTGTTTTTTCTGTCCCCACCTCACTTTTTAAATTTTATTTCACATTTGAAACCTTCTTGATTTAGCTCGATCAGATGGAGATACAGAGGAGATCTATGACACCACCCCTGTCACCAGCGGCATATGTCAACTCAACACAGTATTCCAGTGTCCTGGAGGGAAGATTCAAGCAGCTGCAAGGTAAGATTTTGATTCCCGCCTTTCCTTCTCAGGCACCAGCAACAGAGTTTACATGGTGCTGTGTGTTCTGTAAATATGTAGTCAAGAGACAGAAGTGCTGTAACTTTAAGCGGTGCCTGCCTGAGTGAGAAATGAAGGGAAGTTGCTTGCTGTAGTTTCTGTCTGGCAATTCAGTTTCTTACAACTTCAGTCTGTTCCAGACTTCCATGTGGTTTCTTGATGTGGGTCTAAGCGTGGGCAAAGAGTATTGTGGTTTATTAGTACACCAGGAGCATCTTTTTTCTGTATCCTGTTTCAGGAGACCAGTGCAAGAAATCTGCTCCGCAACTGGAAAACTGGCCTTTGTGGGCTCCTTCAGTACTCTTTTTACAGGGAGACAGACTGAGTAAACATGTGCGACTGGCTCTACTGTGTTTGCATAATTGCAGCCTTTTTTTTATATTGTGCTGGAGCTGCTAGTCTATGATGCTGAAAAACTTGGTATGATCATTGACCTGATTGAATGAATGAATTGGACAAGTTTAGTTGTTTGGGTTGTTGACTGATTTAAATTTCCACATCTGAAATTGGTAATATCAGGACATGCTATTTTAATTTGGCTTGAACACTTGAATAGTGGAATTTTAGTACATGTAGGGTCCCAAACCAAAATTCTGTTAGTTCCTGGAGTTTGATCCCAGCTATATTATGAAATGCAGTTAATAGACAGAGGACCATGCCTCTGTACTTGACTGTTTTTGAGCTGCATCAACTCATGCTAGTAATGCCTGTTGCTGTTGTGTCAGTATTCCACAACGAGCTGCACCCATAAGTAAAGTTATTGGATGCAGTGCATCCAGATAAGTGAGAGAACATGTTTGACATGTTGATTCCTCCCCTACTGTACACTCTGTTTCACAGAGTTAAAATAAAATTACTGTAAGCCATGAAGATTTCAGAATTAAAGTTTATGGCTTGATAAATAATAATGCATGTTGAATTTTTAATTTCCCTTTGGCAACCCTTTTAGTAATGATGATATATGCAGGTTTTATTTTGCTGGGAACAATTTGTAATTTATTATTTCCCCTTGTCCCTGTCTGCAGTTTGCATTTGTTAACCCCCTCAATAACAAGATTGCTTACATTTATTTAACACCTTTAATGAAGTAAAACATGACAAGGCGATTCACAAAAGCATTGCCAAATGAAATTTGACATAGTTTTGCTTGAGATACTGCAGCTGTTCAGTAGAGGTTTGGTAAAAGGGCTAGGTTTTAAGGACTATCTTAAATGAGGAAAGAGAGGTAGTGGGGGGGGGGGGTGAAGATGTTTGGGGACAGAATTCCAACATTTAAAGCCTAGGCAATTGAAGGCAGGAACAGTGGTGGAGCGATTTTGATGTGGAAAGAAGCCAGGGATTGTATAGAGATAGTAGGAACTGCCGACGCTGGAGAATCTGAGATAACAAGATGTAGAGCTGGATGAACACAGCAGGCCAAGCAGCATCAGAGGAGTAGGAAAGCTGACGTTTTGGGTCTAGACCCTTCTTCGGAAATAACTCACCTCCTCAGTCCCCACAGCCTGTCTATCAGGCATGTTTGAGAAATGTATTAGCCTGGATGAGTGCAGCTTCAATAATACTTAAGTTTAAGACCACCTAGTCACCTAATGCGCAAAAATTGTAGGGAACTTGGATTTTGGAGAGTTGTAGAAATCGAGAGGTTACAGAAATAGGAAAAGGCAAGGCCATGCAGAGATTTGAAAACAAAGCCTGAGAATTTTAAAATTAAATAATTGCTGGAATGGGAGTCAGTATAGGTCAGGAACTTTTTGTAAGATACATCTGCAGCGATCTTTTGAATGACCTCAAATTTTTGAAGTGTAGAAAATGTGGGACTGACTCAGAACGTGTTGGATTGGTCATGTCCGGAGGTAATAATGACCTGAATGAGTGCTTCAGTGACAAATAAGCTAGAGTAAAGGCAGAGTTAGGTAATGGGTTAAATGTGCAAGTAGGTAGTGTTGCTTACTGGAGTGGATATAAAGGTAGAAACTTGTCTCAGGTTCAAATACAAAACCAAAGTTGTAAAGAGACTGGTTCTGCTTGAACATCTTCCACAGAGGGCAGGAGATGGCATTATGGCTGGTGATTTAGAATTTGTAAAGACATTCAGTGCTGCCCAATCACGACTTCATGCTGATCAAGTAAAATAACAAATCAGAGATGTTGAAGAGGTCGAGCGAGTTAAAGGAGAGCTGGATGTTTTCAGCATTTGTGTGGAAAATAACGTTGCGCATTCAGATGATGTTGTAGAGAGGGTAGCATAAAGAGGAGAAATGGGGAACTGGGAAATTTAACACTGAAAATATAGAGACATTCAAACATTTAAAAAGCTCTTTTAGTACACGGAGAGACATAATAGGCTGGGGCTGTTTTCCCTGGAGCATCAGAGGCTGAGGGATGAAGGTTTATAAAATCATGAGGGCTATGGTTAGGGTGAGTGGTCAAGGTCTTTTCCACAGGGTAGGGAAGTCCAAAACTAGAGGGGCATACGTCTAAGGCGAGATGGGAAAGATTTAAAAGGGAGCTAAGGGACAACTTTTTCACATAGAGGGTGGTGCATGTCTGGAATGAGCTGCCAGAGGAAGTGGTGGAGGCTGGTACAATTACAACATTTAAAAGTCATCTGGATGGGTATATGAATAGGAAGGATTTAAGAGGGATATGGGCCAAATGCTGGCAAATGGGACTATATTAATTTAGGATATGTGGATGGCATGGATGAGTTGGACCGAAGGGTCTGTTTCCATGCTGTACATCTCTATGACTCTTTTGGGGAGCTTAATATCGTAGCAGTTGATTTTGTGCACATGCCTATTGCACTCACTCACCGTTGGGACAAAATAGAGATCCCAAAGGCACCAGAATTACTGAGGCTTGTCCATGTGGTTCACAGCAGTCCTGAATTTTAGACACACAAAAAAATTTGCATAACCAATCTGAGATTCAGGCTCAGATTGTTAAAATGTTTGTATTCAAGTTGTGACCAGGCATTGGATTTTCCGAGTGGTGTGGCTGTCAGTCATGGTTCCATTGTTTCATGTTTCTTCTTTTGATCTGAGCTCCCTGCATAAACGAAGCATGGATCAATACTGAGTATTGCCTCAGTACCAGGGCATATCTGTGGCCAGTGTGAAAGAGTTAAAAATTTAGTTCTATATTAGGTGCAAACGTGATATATGAGATGACAAAATTTCCCAAATGATTTCTTCTGTAAACTCCGATAGGCTGCGGCCCAAGTTCGCTTCCTGGTCAGGGAATGCAAGTATTGCTCTGCTATTTTTTGGAGGTGGCACGGTGGCTCAGTGGTTAACACTGCTGCCTCACAGCACCAGGGACCCGGGTTCGATTCCACCCACAGGCGACTGTCTGTGTGGAGTTTGCATGTTCTCCCCGTGTCCGCGTGAGTTTCCTCCCACAGTCCAAAGATGTGCAGGCTAGGTGGATTGGCCATGCTAAATTGCCCATAGTGTTCAGGGATGTGTAGATTAGGTGGGTTATAGGGGGATGGGTCTGGGTGGGATGTGCTGAGGGTCAGTGTGGACTTGTTGGGCCAAAGGGCCTGTTTCCACACTGTAGGGATTCTGTGATTGATTGTATCACCCACTTGTACAAGCATTCAGACTGTCATGTACTTGGCATGGTGGCTGCTGAGGTCACAAGGTTATCAGGGTTCAAGTGCATAATCTATGCATTACTGATGACGTATGTGATGGTACCTGCTTGATTGAACATTAAAAGTTCCAAGTTTAAAAAGTCTGATTTTTTTTAAAAGGTAGATGCTTGTTGCAGTGCTCTGCATAACAGAATAAATGGTCACCTGTTGCATTTTGCAGGGAAGGCTTAAGTAACCCAGTCACTGCTATACAAAGCAACTCATTTCTTTACAAGGTGTAGAGCTGGATGAACACAGCAGGCCAAGCAGCATCAGAGGAGCAGGAAAGCTGACGTTTCAGGTCTAGACCCTTCTTTACAGTGTGTTTTGAGATGCTTCTGAGAGACATAAGGTTTCAGCACACTGTACAATATTTTAGTTGTTAAATGAAATAACAAAAGAAAATAAAGGTATTGTTTACTTTTCCTCTATATGACCATGCTGGTTTCTTTCCCCTTGTGTCTTTGAGTTGCCTACCCAGCAATGTACATGCATTAAGGATTCTTAAATAGCTTTTGTGTTGCTCGGAATGTCTTTTAGTTGTAGATAACAGACTAGTGTTGCTTCAGGGCACTAATGTTTCTTTATGAGGTTTCTGGATGGCACATGACATTCAGAATCAGTAAATACAGCTCTGCACACACCATTGATTGTAAATGCTGCGTGAGATCAAAAGACAAAATGCTTAACCCTTTCATTAGTACTCTTGAATGGGCTTAATAAGAGATTTTCCTTTGACAGTTCCCATATTATGGCTGCTTGTGATATTTACCGTAACATCTGATTGTAGCTCATAACATTTACAGAAATTGCTCAGATAATGCTTCGTTTGTTGTTTTCATTGATAAAATGCAAACCTGGAAGCATAGTGGCCAGGTGCATAACGGACTGGCACGGCAACTGCTCTGCCCAGGAACATAAGAAACTACAGAAAGTTGTGTGCACAGCCCAGACCATCACAGAAGCCAACTTTCCATCAATGGACTCCATTTACACTTCTCATTGTCGTGGAAAGGCTGCCAACATCATCAAAGACCCATCGCACCCTGGTACTGCTCTCCTACAGCCTCTTCTGTCAGGCATAAGATACAGGAGCTTGAACACATGCACCAGCAGGTTCATGGAACTTCTTACTTGCCATTATTATACTGATGAATGGACTCCCTGAGTAATGGTGATCTTGCCTAGCATATGCCCTGGGGGGAGGCAGCGGCCTAGTGGTATTATCGCTGGACTGTTAATCCAGAGACCCAGACAACCTTCTGGGGACCCAGGATCAAATCCTGCCATGGCAAGTGATGGAATTTGAATTCAATAAAATATCTGAAATTAAGAATCTAATGATGACCATGAACCCATTGTTGATTGTCAGAAAAACCCATCTGGTTCACTAATGTCCTTTAGGGAAGGAAATCTGCCATCCTTACCTGTTCTGGCCTACATGTGACTCCAGACCCACAGCAATGTAGTTGACTTTGAACTGCCCTCTGGGCAATTAGGGATGGGTAATAAATGATGCCTGGTCAGCGACGCCCTCATCCTGTGAATGAACAAAGAAAAACAAAACCTGTATGCCTCTGTCTTTTCACCCTGTGATCTGTATGCCCTTGCTTGCTATGATTTGACTGTGCTGCTCATAAACAAGCTTTTCACTGCACTTAGGTACATGTGACAATAAATAAATCAAATCAAATCAAATACTGAAATTACATTGCTGTAAATCATTATATATGAATCCGTTAAGCATTTATGTATTCAGATAGCAGCATTTCAAGGTCCACCATCGGCAGCATGATGGCTTAGTGGTTAGCACTGCTGCCTCACAGTGCCAGGGACCTGAGTTCAATTCCAGCCTCAGGCGACTGTCTGTGTGGAGTTTGCACATTCTACCTGTGTCTGTGTGGGTTTCCTCCGGGTGCTCCAGTTTCCTTCCATAGTCCAGAGATGTGCAGGTTAGGTGGATTGGCTGTGCTAAATTGCTTACAGTGTCCAGGGATGTGCAAGTTAGGTAGATTAGCTATGGAAAATGCCGGGTTACAGGGATAGGGTAGGAGGTGAGTCCTGGTGGGATGCTCTTTGGAGAATTGTTGTGGACTTGTTGGGCTGATTGGCCTGTTTCCACACTGTAAAGATTTAAAAAAATCTATAATGCTTATGTGAAAACTGACCCTCCACTAGTTAGAAGTTAGTTAGAGTCATGTCTTACACCATTAAGTGATTAAAGTGAGCTCTATATTAGTTTAGCAATGACAAGAAGATCTGATTTTTTTCCAACAAAAATTCTTCATTGCTACTAATTTTGCTGGTTCACAAGTATAACCTGTTGGTGGCACTAATCTGGCAGTAAACCTGAAGATAAATTACCCTTCAAATCATGAATGAGGTATGGTGAAGCGACACAAGACTGACCTTAGCATTAAAAAACTGAGCTCTGAGAGTAGGCTGGAGAAGGTTAGGCTTCTCAATTTAAAAGAGACAAAGAGGTGATGTCATAGAAATGAGATAACATAGAAAATAGTAGAGACTTGATTTCAGACCGAGCTGTAATAATGAGGCAACAGATGAAAATGAGCAAAATGCATATGATTGGAGCATGTTCATTTTTCTTCTTACAAAGCACACACTTTTCTTCATGTAAAATCTAAACCACGTGTGGCAGACAGTTTGACCACAAAGGGCATTCCAGAGGAGTCCAATCTTGCCTTCGTCTGACATTCTCATCAGTACATTTCAGTAGATGAAGATTGTTTCTGGGAGACATCCTGTGGCAGAATCATTGATGAGGACGTCATGAAGGGTGGTCATTCCTCCCAACTCTAATCAACCATTGAGCAACATAGCATTGGCGAACTATGTCCATTTTCCCTCAAGAGTTTGAGTCACTCACCATGGCCTCCACATCCACCTACTTGCCTGACCTGTTCCCAATTTGTCCTTAGGACTAGGCAAGTTAGTATGACATTCCGCAATTTTTAGCTTTGTTCCCTTCCTGCAAATTTGGCCAACCCTGGAACTTTACTCTTCCACTGCCCTCCCCTGTCTCACTCCCATCATCACCCCAGTTAACCAAACCTAGCTTTGAAGCTTGGTATACCCTTAAACAAAAATACATGGAAATCTTTCAGTGTCAACTCGGATCAGAGAAAGAAATTGAAAAGGCAGTGTTTCTGGCTATCGCCACAACTAGATGGAGCACCATGTACATATGTGCAGCATCTTACCAGTCAGAAATTGCTTGATTTCTCATTCAGATCAGTTCTGGTACTGATCAAATTTACTCCCCAACAACAGTCTTTAACTTGTTACAGTTTCCTACCTATAGCATTGTGCGGCCAAGAAGGATTTACCATTCAATCCCTGCTTTCATGTTTTACAGCTGCAGTAGGGTTACTAGTTTTTAAAAAAAAGTGTAGTGATTGGAACCAGGTGGATCTTGTTAACTGAGATCCTTGATTGTGGTTGTTAATCTGGACCAATCAGAAAGCCCTGGCTGACCTTTATAAATGGGGAATTTGGTATCTCCTCAGTTGAGGGGACTGACTCCCGGCTGGCTGGCCACAGCCAATGAACAGTGCATAGTAAATAAAGGGTGACTGAGTGATGGGATACCAGGCTCTGTACAGTTATTTCAAATTTTAAGTCAAACCCTGCTAGGGGTGGAAGAAGACAACACACATTCACTAACTAGAGTGGCACACGAGAATCATTCGAAGATTTGAGGTGGCACGGTGGCTCAGTGCTTAGCACTGCTGCCTCACAGTGCCAGGGATCTGGGTTCAATTCCAGTCTCAGGCAACTGATTGTGTGGAGTTTGCACATTCTCCTTCTGTCAGCGTGGGTTTCCTCCCACAGTCCAAAGATGTGCAGGTTAGGTGGATTGGCCATGCTAAATTGCTCATAGTGTCCAGAGATGTGTAGGCCAGCTAGATTAGCTATGGAAAATGCAGGGGTACAGGTATAGTGGGTCTGGGTGGGATGCTGTTCAGAGGGGTGGTGTGAATATAAGAACATAAGAACTAGGAGCAGGAGTAGGCCATCTGGCCCCTCGAGCCTGCCCCGCCATTTAATAAGATCATGGCTGATCTTTGAGACTCAGCTCCACTTACCCGCCCACTCACCATAACCCTTAATTCCTTTACTGTTCAAAAATTTATCTAGCCTTGCCTTAAAAATATTCAGTGAGGTAGCTTCAACCACTTCACCGGGCAGGGAATTCCACAGATTCACAACCCTTTGGGTGAAGAAGTTCCTCCTGACCTCAGTCCTACATCTGCTTCCCTTTATTTTGAGGCGATGCCCTCAAGTCCTAGTTTCACCTGCTAGCGGAAACAACCTCCCTGCCTCCACTTCATCTACTCCCTTCATAATCTTATATGTTTCTATAAGATCTCCCCTCATTCTTCTGAATTGCAATGAGTATAAGCCCAGCCTACTCAGTCTCTCCTCATAATCCAACCCTCTCAACTCTGGAATCAACCGAGTGAATCTCCTCTGCACCCCCTCCAGTGCTAGTATATCTCTTCTCAAGTAAGGAGACCAAAACTGCACACAGTACTCCAGGTGTGGCCTCACCAGGACGCTATACAGCTGCAGCATAGCCTCCCTGTTTTTAAACTCCATCCCTCGAACAATGACAGACAAAATTCCATTTGCCTTTTTAATCACCTGCTGCACCTGCAATCCCACCTTCAGCGCTTCATGCACAAGGACACCCAAGTCCCTTTGCACAGCAGCGTGCTGCAATTTTTTACCATTTAAAACATAGTCCATTTTCCTGTTATTCCTACCAAAATGGATGACCTCACACTTATCAATATGATGGACTGAATGGCCTGATTCCACACTCTAAGGATTTGTGAGTATAACAGGGATATATCTATGTCGTATGTGCATTTAATTGGAATGGGGCAGCAATAATGATAAACAGTACAAACGCATGCCTGCACACTGATAAAGTTCTGCATCTGAACCAGTCCAAGAGCAAACAGACTCACTAGTTTGACTTGAAGTGTGGAACTCCAGCATAAGTTTGCACCTCATTCAAGTTGAGCCTAGCACAGCGACATGGAAGTTGTTCGCACCTTTTTTTAATTTGAAAAATATACTTTATGAATAAAAACATTTTCTATAAGACATAGAAAAGGTTCACGTCAGTCCTTTGCTGAGTAAGGACAAACAACACATTGGAATTAGGCAATCTTCAGAGCTGCCCTGCAGTTGCAAAACAAAGGCATTTTCTAATCATGCAGGAAATTATTTATATTCATTTTGAGGCAACAAGAGGCATCTGACAACTGAACAGATCTTCATTGTACTTTGGCAGAAAGACCTTTGACTGTGATCTTACCCCACTGTGTTTGGAGGCAACTGCCCCAAGCTTTGGAGTGCTACAGTATATAGCCCTGAACCTGGCAACGTCCCAGTCTGCAACATTCGGTCAAGGTTGATACTTTACACTGGAAGACCACCAAGTTTCGGCTGACCGAAGGTCATCTTTCCCCGAGTCGATGGTCCTCTGGGCGCAATCGATGTTTGTCTGAGTATGCATCTGGGGAACAGCCCATAGGGCGTGTATGGCGCTAGGCACTATCTTGAATGTGTTGGGAACAGACACATGGAATTAAAAATATTCTGTTTGGTCCATACAGCTTTATATTCATTGGTACTGCTTGTACTGTTGAGCTAAAGGGAAAGCTTGAATTTAATGTGAGGAGTGATGAATTGTTGGGAGTCATTTTATCATTGCACCACTATGGAAATGTGGGAGCGTCCAGACATGCTGATCACATTAGCTTGCAAAACAATTTTAAAAAATAATTTTAATGGGGTTCACCATGATAGAGAATTTAGAGCATACAGCATGGAAACAGATCTTTTGGTCCAACTAGACTAAGGTGACCATGTTCCACTTGGCCCAGATCCCTCCAAACCTTTCCTATTCATGTATTTATTCCAACGTCTTAAATGTACCTGCATCCATCACTTCCTCTGGCAGTTCATTCCATACATGAACCACTCTGCCCCTTTTTTAAAAACTTTGTCCTCTCAACCTTAAAAATATGCCCTTTAGTTTTGAACTCCCCCACCCAAGGAAAAAGACCTTGACTGTCTTGTTTCTCTTGTTGCCTGTCATTGTAATGTAGATGGATCTGCAGCTAATCCCTCATCTTCGGTTATCCCATATATAAACAGTACCGTGCAAACATGTTTCTTGATCACATATCTCACTCAGAGTGCTATTTACTCATATAATCGGATGGCACAGTGGCTCAGTGGTTAGAACTACTGCCTCACACTACCAGGAACCTGAATTTAATTCCACCCTTGAGTGATTGTGTGGAGTTTGCGGAGTGCTCTGGTTTTCTCCTTTAGTCCAAAGATATGCCGGTTAGGTGGATTATCCATGCTGAATTGTCGGTAGTGCCCAGGGATCTGCAGGCTAAGTGGATTAGCCCTGGTAAATGCAGGGTTACGAGGAGAGTGTGGGGGGACTGGTTCTGGGTGGGGTGCTCTTTGGAGGGTTGGTACAGACTTGATGGGTCACATGGCCTCTTTCTGCACTGTAGAGATTCTCTGATTCTATATTCACTACAATAAAGCCAGTTATCAAACAGGGACATTTTCATTTTATGAAGACAATCAGATTATCTTTTTGTTTGTGTTTTGGAATCACAAGTTATTATTTTGAATCAGTAGAGTACATTCTGCAACATCATCAAAGACCCCTCCTACCCCGTCAGGCAGAAGATACAGAAGCTTGAACACAGGGACATGTTCAAGAACAGCTTCTTCCCCGCCGTTATTGGACTGATGAATGGACTGTCTAACTTCAAGTAATGTTGATCATGTTAGTGTTGACCTTGCTTTGCACACCTCCTGTGTAGTGTAATGCCTCACTCTTAAGCATGCTATGATCTGTATGTCCTTGCTTACTATGATCTGCCTGTACTGTTTGCAAACAAAGTTTTTCACTGTCCTTAGGTACACGTGACTACAATAACTCAAATCAAATATCATTCTTGGACCAGAGTTTTTGTGCAGGAATGAATGCACGGCAGGATTTGGGTGCCAAGCTCAATTTGGTCTGCCTGCAGCCTGTGCACTTTTCCATCCATGTGGACTAGAAGTCATGTTTGTGTGCGTTAGTTGTCTTAAAGCACCTGAAATCCAATGTGCACCCCCTGCTGGTTGAATATCTACTCTCCATTGGTTTTCAGGGACTTAGGACATCTTGAGATTGTGAGAAATGCTAATGCGAACAAAAATTTGAAAACTTTTTTTTCTCTCTTCTTTTTATTTGTCTCCCTTTCTTTGTCTCAACCACACACACCCTGTTTGAGTATGTACATGTTGTATAACCTTTGACCTATAGATACTATCCAAGTCCTTTTATCGGATTAAAATCCTTGTGAAGCATTGAAGGCTTAAACATTCCTTGCAGCTCTATGGTTAGTACCCAATCTATACCCAGTACATGAATTGTTCAAATCAGCTTTTCTGTTTACACTGTGTACTCACAAACAAAATACATTCTTTTCAATCTTGCACTATGAGTGAGGCGTCTTCGCTGACCCAGAATATTAAAAGTTTGTGTAAATAGGAAGATCGCGGTCTGGTTTCTTAACATAATGTAGATCTGTTAATTAAAAATGTTACATTTGTGTTATTCAGCCTGATACCCAATGAACTAAGAAACCCATCCCCATGTAAAAGTATGCTCTCAGGTTGACAGTTATTTAGTTTGAATTGGAGGAAAGCAGTACAAGCTGTCTGGTTTGCATTTATGCCTGACTCTTAAAACCAGGTTTGTCAAGACAATAACACAATAGGTTTTGGCATTGTCATCTTGGGCAACAAGCTTACAGGCATGACTGTTCAAAATTGTGGACTGGACAAATGTCTGATGTGTTTTAAACTAAGCTACTCAAAAATCTGTATTAGTATATTTGACCTGAAACATTAACTCTGATTTTTCTCCACAGATGCTGCCAGACCTGCTGAGCTTTTTCACAACTTCTGTTTTTGTTAGTAGAGGCTCTGTTTACTTGATGAATGGTGCTCGTTTTGCTCAGTGAGACCATCCCATTTAACTATTGTAATTGCCAATTACCAGGCGTTGGATAGTGGGGATCGTAGTGTCGTAGAGTCATACAGCACAGAAACAGACCCTTCGGTCAAACCAGACCATACTGAACATAATCCCAAACTAAACTAGTCCCACCTGCCTGCTCCTGGCCGATAACCATCCAAACCTTTCCTATCCATGGACTTATCCAAATGTCTTTTAAATGTTGTAACTGTACCTGAAATCCACCACTTCCTCAGGAAGTTCATTCCACACATGAATGACCTTCTGAGTAAAAGATTTTCCCCTCATGTCTTTTTTAAAATCTCTCTTGTCTCACCTTAAAAACGTGTCCCCTAATCTTGAAATCCCCCATCCTACGGAAAAAACAACTACCATTGACTCCATCTATACCCGTCATAACTTTATAAACTTCTAAAAGGTCACCCCTCAACTTCCTATGCTCCAGTGAAAAAAGTCCCAGCCTTTCTTTAAAACTCACACCTTCCGTACCAGGCAACATCTTGGTAAATCTCTTCTGAATCCTCTCCAGCTGAGTAATATCCTTCTTACAACTGAGCGAGTAGAACTGGACACAGTATTCCAGAAGAGGTCTTGCCAGTGCCCTGAACAACCTCAACATGACATCCCAACTCGCTAGTCAGGGGACTGAGCAATGAAAGCAAGCGTACCAAACGGAAGAGGTAGTGTTGGGCAAGCTAATGGAGCTAAGGATTGATAAGTCTCCTGGCCCTGATGGAATGCATCCCAGGGTACTAAAAGAGATGGCGGGAGAAATAGCAGGTGCACTGGCGGTAATTTTCCAAAATTCGCTGGACTCTGGGGCAGTCCCAGCAGATTGGAAAACAGCAAATGTGACGTCACTGTTTAAAAAGGGAAGTAGACAAAAGATGGGGAATTATAGACCGGTTAGCTTAACCTCTGTAGTGGGGAAGATGCTTGAGTCTATTATCAAGGAAGAAATAGCAAGGCATCTTGATAGAAATTGTCCCGTTGGGCAGATGCAGCATGGGTTCATGAAGGGCAGATCATGCTTGACAAATCTTTTGGAATTCTATGAAGACATTATGAGCGAGGTGGACAATGGAGACCCAGTGGATGTGGTGTACCCAGATTTCCAAAAGGCCTTCGACAAGGTGCCACACAAGAGGCTACTGCATAAGATAAGGATGCATGGCATTAAGGGTAAAGTATTAGCATGGATAGAGGATTGGTTGACGAACAGAAGCAAAGAGTGGGGATAAATGAGTGCTATTCTAGCTGGCAGTCAGTGACCAGTGGTGTGCCTCAGGGATCGGTGTTGGGACCGCAATTATTTACAATTTATATAGATGATTTGGAGTTGGGGACCACGTGTAGGGTGTCAAAGTTTGCAGACGACACTAAGATGAGTGGCAAAGCAAAGTGTGCAGAGGACTGTGAAACTTTGCAGAGGAACATAGATACATTGAGTGAGTGGGCAAAGGTCTGGCAGATGGAATACAATGTAAATAAATGTGAAGTCATACATTTTGGTAGGAGTAATAGTAAAAAGGATTATTACTTGAATGGTAAAAAGTTGCAGCATGCTGCTATGCAGAGGGACCTGGGTGTCCTTGTGCATGAATCACAGAAGGTAGGTCTGCAGGTACAACAAGTAATTAGGAAGGCAAATGGAATTTTGTCCTTCATTGCTAAAGGGATTGAAATAAAAAGCAGAGAGGTTATGTTGCAGCTATACAAGGTGCTGGTGAGGCCACACCTGGAGTACTGTGTGCAGTTTTGGTCTCCTTACTTGAGAAAGGATGTATTGGCACTGGAGGGGGTGCAAAGGAGGTTCACTAGGTTGATTCCGGAGTTGAGGGGGTTGGCTTATGAGGAGAGATTGAGTAGATTGGGATTATATTCATTGGAATTCAGAAGATTGAGGGGGGATCTTATAGAAACATATAAAATTATGAAGGGAATAGATAAGATAGAAGTAGAGAGGATGTTTCCACTGGCAGGTGAAGCTAGGACAAGAGGGCATAGCCTCAAGATTAGAGGGAGCAGATTTAGGACTGAATTGAGAAGGAATTTCTTCACCCAGAGGGTTGTTAATCTATGGAATTCCTTGCCCAGTGAAGTAGTTGACGCTACTTCAGTAAACGTTTTTTAAAAAAAGGTAGATTTTTTTTGAACAATAAAGGAATTAAGGGATACGGTGAGAACGCGGGTAAGTGGATCTGAGTCCACGAAAAGATCAGCCATGATCTTATTGAATGGCAGAGCAGGCTCGAAGGGCCAGACGGCCTACTCCTGCTCCTAGTTCTTATGTTCTAAACACCTTTTTAACCACCCTGTCTATATGTGATGCAAACATCAGCCAGATTTCCTGCTTATTGTCACTGCCTAATGGTTCACTCCTGGATGTTGTAAATGTGGACATTGGCTAAGGATAGGATTGGGCAGTTGAATTACTTTTTGATATTCCTTTCT